CAGACCCGGGTTCGATTCCCGGCTGGTGCAGATGCTTTTTCTTTTCCACCAAACAATGAACATCGGAATGGATTTCAGTTATGTCGACATCACCTGGGGAGCTCCTACCCAGTTGTCTTCTTTTCTTGTCCTTTTTCAAGGTTATAAACTCTTTTTCTTTTGATAAAGCTGCCGTTTCATTTGTTCATGAGTAGCTACAATCCTACAGGAAAAACAGGGTGTTGATTAATTAAGTCGGCATTTTAGATCGGTAGAGGACATCGGGCACACCTTTAGACTTTAATGCTTTCTACATTCAACCTTTGAATGAACAGACGCAGCGGTGATTGACAGATGAACTATCGATATATGCGCGATCTATGATCAAGATTTATATCTGGTTTCTTTTCGATGAAGTCTTCATGGGCTTGTGAAACCTGATGTTGATCAGGCATCATCATGCAAGCTAGTTGTAGTTCTCAAAACTTCAATAAAAATGTTCAAACAACACATTTGATATGATTGAGTATTTGCCTCCAATGGTAATTGGGCATGTTCCATGTTCAAAGAGTTGAGCTTTGAATTTTCTGTCTCCATAGATAAACGTATGCACATTTGACTACAGTCCGAAGAAAATTGACATGAAAAGATATCAGCAACAGAAGGCTCTATGTAATGATCGTTGCAAACAACAGCAGCACAAAAACTCTTTCCTCTACAACAAGTTCACCTTTGTCAACGATCACCATCTCCTCAATCCCTTGGTTGTGACTCCAAAACTTTCTCGGCTTACTAGACTCACCTCATCGAGCCATAAACGGTAATTCAAAAAATTTCATGATTTTTCTAAAAAAGATGAATTCGTGACACTATATTATATTAACATTTAAAATTATAAATATGAGTGATTTTTTATTTATAAATATAATATACACTTATATTTTTCTTGTTAGTATGATACTATTATATATAATAACCATTATTATTGTTGTGATTTTAAAAACAAAACATATGATTGTCAACAAAGTTTTCAAAATCGAATTATATATTTGGAAGCAAGCTACTAAAAATAATAGCATAAATGCAATTACAGAATCGCACCAGTGGTCTAGTGGTAGAATAGTACCCTGCCACGGTACAGACCCGGGTTCGATTCCCGGCTGGTGCATTTGCGTTTTCCATCTTTCTTGCTTTCCACCTCTAGTCAGTGATATAGTCAGTCATTAAAACCTCTGAAGATGATGACTGGGTCCAAGCTCACAGAGTGATACTTAGATTATATAGGACTGTCGGCAGTACAATGAACAACTACAATTCACTCTTCTTTTATTTCATTGCAGCCACACGTTAGATCAGTGGTCTAAATTGAATTGAAGAGGATTTGAATATACAACACTGTAAATGGCAGTAAAGATTCTGTCATTCTGCAAGGGAGGACATCCTTTACCTTTGCCAGAGGATTTGTTTTAATATTTTAATCATTAACTGTCTGATTTTGAGGTGTACTTAACGAAGTCCTCATGGGCTTCCAAAACCAGGTCATGATCTTCCCATTCATCACGGTACGTGTCTGGTCTAAGAGGCCTATTCGCAGAAGCCGCAAGGTACATTTGCTTTCTCCATTTTTCAATGCCTTGGCATCCACATTGTGCAGCAAGCCAATTATTATACTCAAACTGCAGAATTCATCAAAATAAATAATCAGAAAGCAATGGAGAGGTACATTAATGATATGTAAGATGAACTCCATGTGATAACAGGACATACACCGGCACCAAACTCAAGACCAGAAAGATTAGGGTAGATTTATATATGCCCCCTAGCAATACAAATTTTACCTGAGATTCACCCATATTATGAGTGTACCGCTTTGGTACGCCTGATGCTTCAAGTGTTGAGTAAAAAGCCTTAATATCTTCCATCATCTCCTTCTGTGATGGAAGAGTAATCCGGCCAGACAAAACACCAGCAATCCATTTGCTTTGAAACTCAAACAAGGGGAATGGAACAACCTAGTAAAAAAGTTACCAATAAGTACTTCTGCCATACGATTGGAAGTTAGATAAGAAAAGAATAGAAATACACCTTCCATGGTATCCCAATAAATGAAAGCCCTGGAGCCAAGGCTGGGGGAAACAAGTGCTTATACAGTGGCCCAAGACGATTATCATCCACAGTCACAATGCCATTAGTGTCAAGGAAAGGGAAGTGATACTTGTACCTTTAAAAAGAAACAGTGGAAAATTAGAATGCCATTTCTATTATTGCAGTATTTTAAGAGTTTCATTCATCATATAACTGAACACAGGCAAATTCACTCCTAAAGCAAAATAACTGCAAAATGAAATGAAGAATACCCAGTGCAGTGCATAATGACATCAGCAAGCACCACTTTCCCATTTCGAAAAACCACAGTGCCATCTTCATGGGCAGTATGTATCTGCACATTGGCAAATATTAGCATTTCAAAAACATATATATCACCTGATCTCATGACAGCCCTGCCATCCTATCTCGGGTAAGTGCTTTTACCATGGAGTGAATCCACAAACTATCATATGCAGGCTGCTTTGTATATGTTTCATCTGCAACTGATCTAGATGCAACATGTACTTCTTTGGCAACTCCAGCTATGTCCCTACAAATGTCAACTGCGCTAGAAGAACTCCCTATTAGAATTACAACCTGTCAAAGGCAAACACTATAGGAGTTTATCAAAAGTAACAGAAACAAAATCACAAGCAATCACTCAATCAAGGGCACAACAGAAATGGGCCACTTCCCAACATGATAGAGAGAGCAAGAGTAGCTAACACCAGGAATTATAACATAAGACTGACAAAACATTTGCTAAATATTTTAAGACCTCCTAGGAGTTAAAATTAACACGATGTAACCCGGATACTAATATCTAAAAACACAGTGATATCCAAGAAATAACACTCTGAGATGCAGAATTGCAACATTTTAAGACAAGGGAAAGTTAAAACCTGATACATACTTGACCTGTAAAGGACTCAGGAACGCGATAATTGTGGCTATGCATTTGCTTTCCTGGCCATAAACTGATGCCTGGAATAAAATAAGGAAGCTGATAAACATCTTTTCCGGCAATGTGAAGCAGGTATTTTTTTTTCTTTTTAATCAATGAATATACATACAAAGATTTCATAATAATATTTCAGCTATCAAAAAATTTACACCCGGAAATGAATGGTAACAGAATCCAAAATAATGATCTTATTGAACTTGTATCATCAACTACCCCACAAATGAATCTAAATTGCACAAATTTTATTAAGCGAAATTGATGTTCTGAATGAAAGAGAAACAATCAGCTCTCAGTATCACTCAGTCTAATGCCTCGCATCTTCCTCTCAATCAAAAACCATCAGTTCATTTTCAAATTCCAATCAGTGCCATAGACGAATTCTGTTATAAAGGGTAAAAAGGGAAAGAAGAAGAAGCTTGTTCTTGAATCTAGACATTCAAAGCAGAAAATATGAACCCCATTAAACCAAACACGAATTTTCTTTAGGAAGTAATTTGATTCTGAATTTGAACAAAAACAGCTAAACCATGACTAAACCTTCAATTCTAAATAACTAATTACCCTTCCCAAAAACAGAAAAAGTAAAAGAGTTTTCCTTCCAAAAGATTTCATTGACAAGCAAGAATACTTTACCTGGAATTTCGGCAATACGAGGCTCGGTGTAATGTCCATTGCAAACAACGACAGCATCGTAAATCTCATCATCCAATTCAACTTCATTTTTATTAATAATATCAATATCATCGTTATAATGATCGTTGTTTTCATTATTAAAAAAAATTGTCTTTTTGGACCTTACTTTCCATTTCCCATTCTCCAAAATCCCGACTTTAACCACTTCGGTCTCGAATCTCACCATTTCCTCAACCCCAAACTCTCGCGCGAAATCCTTCAAATACATCAACACTTCCCTGTGACCCGGGAACCTCCTAGGATCCCTATTCTCCCCGGCTAGTGTCATGAATGGAAAGTCCGTGAACCCCATAACCTCCCTCGGAAGATTAGTCCGAAGAGAACTGTAGAGGCTAGTGTGAACGATCGGTCGGGCGGCGTCGATTCCTAAGGGGTCGGGTTCCACCCGATGAGTGTAGACCCACGTTCCCCCGACTTCGTTCCCGCGTTCGAATACGACCACCGAGTGGCCCTCTCGGCGGAGCTCCCTCGCCGCCACGAGGCCCGCAGCTCCAGCTCCTACAACCGCCACGTGGCGGGATTTGACTAATGGGAAAGCTGGTGGCCTCGCCAGGTTGATAGTTAAGGTGTGCATTTAAAGTAGGAAAGGATTTATAATGATGATGGTTGTTCATATAAATATTTTTTTAATGTGGATTCAGATGCTAGAGTGACAGCTGGTTGTGGTTGGGTTCTGAGACTGTCGTATTTACGACCGCTAAGTTGCATTTTCAACATTTGTTTTCACCTGGTGGTTTCGTCCAACAGCACATGAAAAAAAGTGCAAAACAACATTTCCGGACAGGGAAGGAAGGCATTCCCTGAATCGCAACTCCGTGCTGGATCACGTCTTTGTTAAATTCCCAGCAATTGGTTAACAAATCTCTTCTCTTTAACTTTGAGTTGTACTTTGCTAACTCCTGTGGTAACTACAATTCCATTTTGGCTGCTAATATTTGAGTAGGTGACCCATTTCACTTCACTTTTTTAATTATTGGTTGTTTTCCTAGCTTAAGGCTTGTAATCTTGTCTTAATAACCAAAATAGCATGATGATGGCGTGGTATTTCGATGCTCTCCTTGGTGATTCTCAAATGAACGTGATTACACCCTTCATTATCTCATTTGTAACTTAAATTTCAGTAGATTTCAGCAAAATATTTAGCTTTGCAAATTGATTGTGAATTATCAATTGTGGAAAAAGATGTTTAGATAAGAATAGAGATTGACATTACAAAATGAGCAATTAATAAACCTAATATGTGATGTACTAATTTGCAAGTGCTTTTTTGGCTTAATAGGAACAATAGCATTTATCTTAAATTAATAGATATTCATCACGTTTGAATTAATGAGATATTAGGATCAATTTTTAAAATTTAACCATTCAATCCATCATTTTTTAAAATATATATTATATCATATTTCAATTAAATAATCAATCACATCTAAATAAATTAATTAAATAAAAAAAATTAATTATGACTTCTTTTATTCATCCAAAACCATCAATCCTGGACAAATGAATTATTTTCATAAGTAAACTTAAGAAATTTTATCTATATTTTATTTTGGAAAATATTGGAAACTGAGGGTTCAGCTTCTTTTAATTTTTAAGATTTATAAGGTTGGACTTCGGTCCTAGGATAACAATTTTGATATGTCCTCACCTATATATCAGTTTTCTTTAGGATTTTGAGGTGTACTTAACAAAGTACCCATGGGCTTCCAAAACCAGGTCATGATCTTCCCATTCATCACGGTATGTACCCGGACGAACAGGCCCGTTTGCAACAGCTGCATGGAACATTTGCTTTCTCCAGTTTTCAATGACTTGGCATCCACATTGTGCAGCAAGCCAATCATAATACTCGAACTGCAAAACGCATCAAACTAACTTAATTAGAGAAAGCCATGGAGAGGTACATAAATGATATGTAAGATGAACTCCAGGGGATAAACAGGACCTATTCCAGGACCAAATTCAAGACCAGAAAAATTAGGATAGAATTCCATAATGAATCTACCTAGCAAGACGAATTTTACCCCAGATTCACTCATGTTGTGAGTATGCCGCTTTGGTATGCCTGCAGCTTCAAGTGCTGAGTAAAAAGCCTTAATATCTTCCATCATCTCCTTCTGTGATGGAAGCGTAATCCGACCAGACAAAACACCAGCAACCCATTTGCTTTGCAACTCAAAGAAGGGGAATGGAAGAACCTGTTAACAAAGTTACCAAAATAATCACTTCTGCTATGAAGCAGCATAGTGGAAGATTGGAAGTTGGATAAGAAAAGAATAGAAACACACCTTCCATGGTACCCCAATAAATGAAAGCCACGGAGCCAAGGCTGGGGGAAAGACGTGCTTGTACAGTGGCCCAAGACGATTATCGTCCACGGACACAATGCCATTGGTGTCTAGAAAAGGGAAGTGATACTTGTACCTGTTAAAAAGGACCAGTTGAATATTAGAATGCTTTTACTATTATTGCAGTATATTATGAGTTTCATTCATTATATAACTGAATACAGGGGAATCCACTCCTAAACTGAACCAAAATAACTGCAAAATCAAATGACGTATACCCAGTGCAGTGGATAATGACATCAGCAAGCACCACTTTCCCATTTTGGAAAACCACCGTGCCATCTTCATGGGCACTGTCTATCTGCAACATTGGCAAATATTAGCACTTCAAAATCATATATATCCCCTCCATAAATCTCATTGCAGCCCTGCCATCCTATCTCGGGTAAGTGCTTTTACCATGGAGTGAAGCCACAAATTATCATATCCAGGCTGCTTTGTATATGTTTCATCTGCAACTGATCTAGATGCAACATGTACTTCTTTGGCAACTCCAGCTATGTCCTGACAAATGTCAACTGCGCTAGCAGAACTCCCTATTACAATTACAACCTGTCAAAGGCAAACATTTGTGTGCGTTTTATCATAAGAAGCAATCACTCAATCAATACCACAACAGAAAAATGGTCACTTCCCAACATGAAAGAGAGAGCAAGAGTAGCAAACACCAGGAATTGAAACATTTTAACATTAACACGCATGTAATTGGGCAACTAATATCTACACACACAGTCATATCCAAGAAACACCACTCTGAGATGCAGTATTGCAAGGGGAAAGTTAAAAGCGGATACATACTTGATCCCTAAAGGACTCGGGAACACGATAATTGTGGCTATGCATTTGCTTTCCCGGCCATAAGTTGACGCCTGGAATAAAACAAGGAAGCTAATAAACATCTTTTTTCCAGAAATGTGAAGCAGGTATTCCTTTTTCTTTTCAATCTAAGAATAAAATACAAGAATTTCAGAATAATATTTCAGCAGTCAAAAAACTTACATCCGAAAATGAATGGTAATAGAATCCAAAATAATAATCTTATTCAACTCGTTTGATCAACTTACCCACAAATGAATCTAAATTTCACAAATTTTATTAAGTGAAATTGATGACTTGAATGAAAAAAGAAACAATCAGCTCCAGTATCACTCAGTCTAATGACTCGCATCTTCCTCTCAATCAAAAACCATCAATTCATTTTCAAATTCCCATCACTGCCATAGACGAATTCTCTTAAAAAGGGTATAAAGGGAAAGAAGAAGAAGCTCGATCTTGAATCAAAAAGGTTAAAAAACACATCTAAAGCAGAAAATATGAACCTCATTAAACCAAACACGAACGGAGGTAATCTGATTCTGAATTTAAACAAAACAGCTAAACCATGACTACAGCTTTAATTCCAAATAGCTAATCACCCTTGCCAAAATTCGAAAAAATAGAAGAATGTATTTTCCAAAAGATAGCAGTTAACAAGCAAGAATACCTTACCTGGGATTTCGGCAATACGAGGCTCAGTGTAATGTCCATTACAAACAACGACAGCATCGTAGATCTCATCGACAAATTCAACTTCACTTTTACTAGTAATAATATCAATATGATCGTTATTTTCATTATTAAAAAAACTTGTCTTTTTGGACCTCACTTTCCACTTCCCATCCTCCAAAATCCCGACTGTAACCACTTCCGTTTCGAATCTCACCATTTCCTCAACCCCAAACTCTCTCGCGAAATCCTTCAAATACATCAACACTTCCCTGTGACCCGGAAACATCCTAGGGTCCCTATTCTGCCCGGTTAAGGTCACGAATGGAAAGTCCATGAACCCCATAGCCTCCCTCGGAAGATTAGTCCGAAGAGAACTGTAGAGACTAGAGTGAACGATTGGTCGAGTGGGGTCCATTCCTAAGGGGTCGGGTTCCACCCTAGAAGTGTAGACCCACGTGCCCCCGACTTCGTTCCCGCGTTCGAATACCACCACCGAGTGGCCCTCTCGGTGCAGCTCCCTCGCCGCCACGAGGCCCCCAGCTCCGGCTCCTACAACCGCCACGTGGCGGGAATTGACTGATGGGGAAGCAAATGACATCTCCATGCTGGTAGTTAAGGCGTTCATTTTTGCGAGAACCAACGAGGAAGGATTTACAGTGACGATTGTTCATATAATCTTTTTTTGAATGTGGATTTTGATGTAGTCATAGCTGGGTGGTCGTTGGGTCCTGAGACTGTCGAATTTACGACCGCTAAGTTGACTTTTCAACATTTGTTTTTACGGCACGGGGGGTTTCGTCCAACACCACGTGAAAAAAAGAGAGTGGAAAACAACATTTCAGGTCACGGAAGGCTGAACGGGAGCGCAATTCCGTGCTGGATCACGTCTTTGTGAAATTCCCAGGACAAATCTCTTCTCCTTAACCTTGGAGAGTATGAAGAGTTATACTTTACTAACTCTTGTGGCTTTTACATTCACTAGTTTCCCTTTCGTCTGCTAGAGTTCGAGCATGTGACTCACTTCACTTCATTAATTTTGGGATTCAAACACTGATCAAGAATTGATAATTTTGGGCTAAAGCCCAAAGAGTTGCAACAGGCTTAAAGGCCTGAAATGAAAGCCCCCTTTCATCTTGCACAATCAATATGATATGCCTAAGTCAACGTCTAAAACAAATGACTTATTTTCCTAATCAAATTTTAAAAAATGTGTCTAAGAAATTTTGAAGATTATTTTATTTTTATAAATAATGTATCAATTAAATCAAGGTTTAGAATTAATGATTATCCTCTAATTTCAATATCACCAATCCATATAATAATTTTAGAACGAATTAAATTCCACTATCATTTTATTATAAAAAATGTAATTTCTACATCAAAAGTAAGATTATTTCCACCAAGTCATACCAAAAAGGGTCACTTTCATGATACCACTGGTTATTAATTAGATGACTTGGAATGTACCTTTCATTGATCAAACTTTCGGCATTTGATTTAAAACTTTGCTATTTCTTTTCCAGCCTAAAGTTTGGTAATCCTTGATTAATATTGCCACATATTTAATTAACAACATTGCTTTAAAAGATATTTACAAGAGAAAATTCCATCGGAATTTATTCCAGAAGGTGCAACTACGCGCTGTTCCTGCGCCTGGCTTATGATCTGGCGCAGCATTCATAAAAAGAATTTGGCTTTTTTTTTTTGGGGTTTTCCCCAACTTGTTGCATGGATGTACGTGAGCTGTATTGATCGTTGATTTCCGTTTCTGCTTGCAAATCTTCCATCCCAACCGAATTTATTTGTTTCCCAAAAAACCCTTGCACCAAAAAATAAAGTAACGTAAATATCGAATTTATTTTCAAATCGAAATTAGTTAAAAATTGAAAATATTATTCCTTTTTTTTTTTACTTAAAGGAATAAAGATAGACATATGGATATAGTTTTCCATAAATCGAATTTTAAAACTTTATATAAATTGTACACAAGTATTAAATTCACCCACCATGGGGTCCTGAAATTTAAACACTGCTTTCTTTTTGCAAGAATTTGTGGAGAGCAGTTTGTTTGTATAATTTAGTTAGCCAATTTAGTAGGTCATAAAAATTATTGTCCTTGCTGTCATTTCTTTTGTTTTTCTTCTGTACATATTGTTATTGGGTTTGATGTGGTTAGGTACAATCTTACCCCTTTTCACGCTAAGAATAAATATAAATAACCTCTACCTCACTCCCATGAGGAATTTTTTTACTGTACAAAATTTATTTTGGTAGAGGTATATAAGACACTATTATAATGATGAAAATAACTACAATATGCATTTTGGATTGATAGTGGACCCCAAGAGTTGCAGTGATCAAAATGGAAGTGAACCAGTCTGTTAAACTCATTAAAAAGAGGCCAGGTTATAGTAGGATGAAAGTTGAGTTTCTGCAGGCTTTGCATTGCATGGTAGAATGGTGGGAATGAAGAGGGTGGGAGATGTGGAAGATAAAGGCTGTGGGAGTCATTAACTGGTAATGGACCAGAATCAGACAGGTCAGAAATCCCAATAACTGAGGGACAACCTGTTAAAAATCCTAATCAACTTGGTTTGAGAGACACATGGTCCCACTAATTATCTATAATCAACTCTCTCTCTTTCTCTCTCTCTCTCCCCTCTCCACCTCTCACTTTTTCAAGTACAAATCACATATAATTTTTTATATCTAACCAATTTATTCATAGGTAAGGGCAAAAAGAGAAAAAAAAAAAAGAAAAACTATTACATACTTTAATCAAATATGGATAAATTATGATCAAAGATGCTAAAATGCATAAATACTTCTCACTTAGTGTTTATTATTATTCTTATTAGATGATAATCTAACTTAAATAACGAAATTCTCGAATATTTAAACTTAATATTATTTTTTTAATACAGTGCGATTAATAGATTTTTTTTAAAAAATAAAAGGTACTACCAAATTATTTAACTAATTTCTTTTATTTAATACATTTATAAATTAACGCTGTCAAGTGATGGCATAAAATAATCTACAATTAAGAACAGTTGACCTAAGAAACATTATGTAAAATAATTGAATAAAAGGTGGATTTAAAAGTAATTCAGTTATTTGGGAGTAGGGTTCTCTCCACCTCACAGAGGTAGAAATGAAAGGAACAAAAGATTAGGGTCCAAATTAAATTTAACTTTGTAGAATGTGCAAGAACTTACAATAATTATAAAATGGTTAATAAGTAGTATGTATTTAAACAGAAAATGGGAATGGGGTAGCTTAGGAGAGTAAGGGAGTGGACCAATGGGGTGTGGAAAGTTGGGAAAAAGGAGATATTAATAGAGGGACAAAAAGGTCAAAGTGAGCAATGGAACATATACTACATAATAAATGGCCTCATCTTTGCTTTTTGCAGTTGAAACTGTCCTACCACCCCTGACTGGTCCTGCTAGAAAAGCCAGAAATCTAAAAAAAATTAAAAATAAAAATTAAAAAAACCAAAGGAATCCCAAAGATTATGTGTGAGAGAGAAAAAAGACAGAAAGTGAATATAAATACCAGAAAAAGAAACAATGATGTGCCACACAAACCACTAAGGAGTAACTCTGTCTTTAGAAAGAGAGAGAGAAGGAAAGAGAATTTATCTTCTCTTCTCTTTCATTACATTACATCTCTTTTCTTTCTCTTTCAGGTTTTTTCTTTGTTCGTCCCAGGCCCATCGTGATCTGATTCCTTTTCATCTCTTTTCTCTAACATATCTTCTCTTACATCCATCGCATTAAGTTTTTTAGCAGTTGGGATTCTTGGGAATTGTTTTTGTTTTGTTTTGTTTTGTTTTCTTAATATCTTCATTGTGATCTAGTTAAAGCAGTTGGAAGTCTTTGGGAGGAACAAGCGGAAAGTGAGGGGTTTTTTTTTTTTTTCATCATGGTGGAATGCTTTTTTGGATTATGTGTCTCCTGGTAAGGTCTTTCTCCCTTTACATTTCTGGGATTCGGTGGATACATTTAAAGTTTTGTTTCTTTACTCAGTTATGTGTTCTTGTCTTGTTAGCTTTTCTGTCCTTTTGTTTTATGCTTCACGGCTTGCTTTTTTTGAGGTGGGATTTGTTTTAGTAAATGTTGAGGTATTAACAATTATTGGAATTTAACATGAAGTTCTGTTTCTCTTGGTTGATTCTGTTTCTTATGTATTCATAATCAAGTGTCCAAGTAGGTTTTTTTTTTTTTAATGCATAAAATCTAAACAAAATGTGGTTTTCATTGATTCTGTTATATGTTAAAATTTTCCCATAAATTCTACCAAGTATCATCTGCATGGTTTAATCATGCACCAGATAAGGGGAAAACAATAGTTATTTCTAAATGAAGGGGGTAAAAAATTTTCTTATGTTAAATATCTGCAGACCTTTTACATCCTTTGAGCTATGTAAGAGCTGAGTTCAATGGCGTCTTGGGTGATCCCAAATTGAGCTACCTTAGCAGCTTTCTCCAATATTCAACTGACTCGTCCATTTTTGATTAGTCAGAGTATTGTATGTGATTGTAAGAAGTAACTTCAATCACCCAAGTCTGTAGATTTTCTATATTCTCATGGCGCGGTCTCTGTGTTTCAGCTAGCCTATATTTCTCCCCAACTAAAAAGTTATTGTTGGAATTATTTTCTAGAGAATGGCATCTTAGCTGCCATCGAGCTGGTAGACATGATCAAGATAGAAAAGTATCCTATGGATGAAGCGTAGTTGAGCCTTTTAGCTATCTTATAATTCAAGATTTCAATTTTATTAAATGTATGAATTAAATATATAATTCTGGGGGATGCCATTATGCCATATAATGAGGCAACACATCCAACTGTTCAATGGGAAACAACTGGGAAAATGTAATATTGATCTGTGGTGCTAAAGTTGGTCATTTATTCTTCATTTATATACATAGATCTTTTCGCCATGTCTTCAGTTTCTCTGCTTCACAGAGCTGAATGGTGGAATTTTTTCAACATAAACACACCTAGGGTCCTTGTCAATGAGAAAAAGAGTTGATACTACCTATTATTGGCACTTCAACTTGGCTTCTGTTAGTAAATAATCCTAAATTTTCCAATTACAACTCATATTGATCAACAAGTCCTCATGTGGTCAGAAATATTTATAATGTTAAACTGTTCTATAGCCAAGTATGTCATTAGATAGAATTACAGCAAAAATCTTGCAATGACTACAATCAGTTTGGTGTTTTCTATTTAAACTTTTAGTTGTGTAAATGGTATTATTTGTCAGCAAGGACTTGTCTTAGTTAAATGCTAGTAATGAATTTATGGAAGTTTTTCAATGTTTATCTGATAGTTGTGACAACAGGAATTTTCTGGGACACATTTCTCGCAAGGAAAGACAAATTTTTCCTAGATTGGCTGCCTTATTGCTATATTATTTGTTTCCCAGATTGGCGGCCTTATTGATTATTAGTGGTACTGCACTATCTTATAACCATCATTTCTCTGTGGAAACTGTTCAGGAATGGAAAGCAAAGGGTGAAACATCATTTCAAGACTCAGTTATTTGAGGATGCAAGATCTGATATCTAGTGATCTATTTGTTCAATTCTTATGAGGAAAAAATGTTGATGCTTGGAGATTTTGATTTAAATTCAATGCAAGGATACACTGATTCACTTAAAGATATTTTTAAGCAGACAATGCTCAATCAAGAGATCTTATTCAGAAAGCAGGTACAAGGATATCCTTGTGTCACAGTACATGTTAGTTTGCTACGTTTCTCTGTTCAGAATTGGCATATAGACTGCTTGGGATATGATGTATACAGACAATTTCCCTTTGATGGGTCAAGCCTATGGCCATCTCTGGTGTGGAAAGTTTTGGCTTGAAATTTGGATTCTTTATGTATGTTATTGTGCTCAAACTGGATGAGTTCATGTGATTTTAGAGTTATACTTTAATATATTGCTTTTACTGGAAGGGGGACTATGAGGCCATGCATATCAAAATCTGTTGCATGAAGGAATCATGACTCTCCCCCAACTTTAGATGCTTATCTTTCTTGCTGTTGCTTTTTTCAGGTCCATGAACTCCATCGTCTATATATTGTTCAGAAGACTCTGATGAAGGATCTTGCTCCCTTGGAGCATGAGAAGTACAATTCATGGAAGGCAAATGCACAATCTCTGCCACAAGAAACCAGACTTCCCTCAAATTCAGTTCCCATGGTAATTGAAGCTATAATCTTTTGAAATGTTAGAAAGATGAGAAGTCTATTTGAGAGTTTGTTGCTTTTTTGCATGCATTAATCATGACTTTTCATCTTTTGGAAAGTGCCTCTGTTCTGTGCACAGGATGGGTTAACTGATCAAATACCTTTTATCTTAAAAAATGTTGTTCAGGTGGGCTCAACTGTATCTTTAAGTCAGGAGTTGTTAGAAGGGTGGAAGGGAAAATACCATAAGTTCCCGCAAAGGTCTTTTGATCTTCAACTTCTACCTGATCAATATATTAGTCTTAATGATAACAATCTTCCACATAAAGGAAAGGACGGGGAACATTTAAAAGAAACTGTGGATGTAAATTCTCTCCATGGTGGTGACTTCTCAGATCCACTGGAGTTGAGGCTTTCCCTAAGCAATGGTGTGGCCAACAGGACAAAGGAAGATAAAAACAGAAGTTGGTATGACAAGAAAACTAATACCTTCCCTGGAATTGTCATTGATTTGGAAGAATCTACTGAGAAGCCCTCAGAATCTGGAGGAAAGCATGATTCGCAAGTTACTATCACATCTGATCCAATCACTTCAAGAAGCGTGAAGAAAGATCCATCTCACAAGATTGCAGAGAGTAGCTCCTTTGATGGTGATAGCAAATGTGTCCAAGACTGGAACTATTCTGGTCAAGGTACTGATGATTTCTTCACATTAGAAGCAGCCTTTTTGTAGGAATAATGTTGGTCTCCGTTCTTGTTCAATTCAAGCATATGCTTAAGTATCATAATTTAGCTTTTCTTTATCCCATCTGCAGGATCAAAACACCATGAAAATTTGCCATACGAAAATATTGTGACCAGGAAGAGGCAGTTCATATCATATGGAGTGGGACATGTGGACCTCAATGAAGTTCAGCTTGATGATTTGTCTTGTCAATCAGATGATGCCATAGTGGCCCATCCTTCGACAACTAGCTCATCGGGTGATTTCAGTGTACTGGTTAGCAGGAGTGAGGATCCCTTGTGTCCAACCACATTTTGGAGAAAAGAAATTAAGGAGTTCCCTAATAATGCTTTTGAGATGCTTCAACAAGATGATGGTGTAAATCTTGCTTTGATGAATTCCAATAACAAAGATAGGAGAACAGAGTTTCAAGTCAGAAATTCTGAACTCAATGGAAGGAACGAATGTGAAAAAAGCCTCATTAGTCATGCATATGTTTCCAGGCCCCAAATAAACCTTTCTGAAGACCTTGGCAGCCTCAGTGAAAACACCAAGCTTGGAAAGGATGAGCTGATGCTGGAACTACAAAATTGTCCTGGTCATGGTCCAAAACCTGCATATTTAGATGCTAGACAAGTGTGCTGTGAGAAGACTGAAGCAGGGGACACTGTGTTGTTATGTTCTGATCAAATCCAATTTACAATTGAAGATGAACATCCTGACAAGTCTCCTGCTTCAGGGAAGTCTAGCTGCATTTCAGATAATGATTCAAGAACTGTAAGGACTGTGCAATCCGGAATTGAACCCCACAATTCAAATCTTCCTGTTTCTGATCAGTTTTCAGGAACCCATGGAGGATCTCCTATTGCAGAAATTTTATCAGGTGAGCAGGATCAAAGATCTTCTGACAGTAATGAAATAAAACATGATTGCTACAATAAAAGCGAAGAATCAGCTGAAGTGGATGATTTGATCCAAATAGCGGCTGAATCACTTATCCATATCTCCTTGGAGAATTCATCTTGCTATCAGGAATCTTCAACCCAGGCAGGATCCAATGAGTTGGATAATGAGGACAAGGAGCAGCCACAGTGTTCCTCTGATTCTTTTGAGTTAATGACTCTGAAACTGACAGAAAGCAGTGCTGATGACTTTTCTGTTTCATCAAAGCCATTTGAAGTAAGTGACTCAGAGAGAAAAGATTTTGGTATCAAGTTGAGAAGGGGAAGGAGACTAAAGGATTTTCAGAGGGACATACTACCAGGTCTTGCATCTCTTTCTAGACATGAAATTTGTGAAGATATAAACATTCTTGAGGGAGTTTTAAGATCAAGGGAATACAGGAAAATGAGAGCTAAGATGGCTAATGGAGAGAGTTGGTGCACACCAGTGAGAAGCAGACGGTCAAGACTCAATTATGTTGGAAGAAAAACATTTAGATGATATTCAAGTTGGAGTTCGAAACTTCATCGGATTTTAACATAAATGTATTGTGTAAGCCAATATCTTTTAACTGCAAATAATCTTTAAGCTCATTCATTGATCTAGAAATATTTAACTATGTTCTGACATATGATTTGACCCTATGCATTAGTGATATTTAGCTATGTTCTGAAATATGATTTAGGAAGAAATAACTAGACTACAAAATGTTGACTATGGAAAATTTGTTTGAAAAGGTACCAGTGTCTTTCACTTCAGCAGACGGTTATAGGGCTCTATATATGTATAGGACCGGATCATCAGTAAAGAAGCCTTACTAGTGAGGCAAATGCTCTGTGAACATGTATTTCCAAGATCTTCCTGAGATTAAAAAATTGAAACTCCAGTATCATTAACAGATTTCTCAATGTTACTGTCTTGGGCGGGATGTAATGGGACTGTTAATGCTAAAAATTTATCTCTGACGGATTTTATCAAAGAGCTAAGAAATTCAGTCTGATGTGCCAAATGTACAAGACGACTGCAAATAAAACATGAACGGCCTTCTAATCTTCAATGTGTGTCTTGCCATTAGCTGACCAGTCTGAAGACCTTGTCAAGCTGTAAAGAGAAAAAGCAGCCTTGCCACTGGGAATTTAGGATGTCCCAGCAAAGGGGGATACCTTGGTCTAAGAAGTAGAAATTTCGCTTCTTTTGTAACGGTAGCCTTCATTTCGTTGGTAATATCCAAAACTGATATGTGCTGACCGCTGAAGATGTCAAATTTATTGTTATAAGTTGGCTTTGCTTTTAAGCTTGAACATATATAGATGGATCTCTAAGTCAAATCATTCCTTCTTTGAAGGTATTGGTTGGATGTTGGGGGCAGATTTTATATGCCTCTTGGGCTCCTCCAACCATTAATATCAAGATGATCAGCACTGGAATCTGATGGAGAGTCCCTTCGTTTATTGGCCCCATGCATATTGTTCAGAATAGTAGTGAGGGAACGATCCAAGAAATGCATTCCTCATGACCATCTTGCATTATAGACAGCGTATGTAAGAGGGGATTGGTCTATCAATATGATTTCTTTGGCAAGAAAAATAAACATTGGAATAATGGAAGGAGTGGAAGCGAAGCCACTAATCGAACACCCTTTAGGGACAAGCATGCTTCAATCATGGCCCCAGAAAGGATAAATACCACTGGTCCAAGTCCCCTTGAGTGAGAGAGACTGCTTGTAATGTTGGTTGGTTGGCCTGGTTTAATGGATTAGATTCAAGGGCAAGTGGAATAATGCCACATGCTGCCAAAATTGCTCACCTAAATCTTTGAATCTGTGTGTCATCTTCTGTTCTTGTACATACCCCACAACCCACAAATATAATGCTATTTTCAATAATGATAAATATGAAAAAGTCAGGGATCATATTATCTGTTTGCTTCTTTATTTGCATTGATTTCCCCTAATATCATTCCAATCTGAATTTTGATATTATAAATTTCTCAACATCTTTTGCTTATTTATTATTTAACAAAACCATGACAAGTGACTGAATTGTTTCTAACTCATTCAGTTCCTTGCAAGATATATAAATATAAATATATATATATATATACTGTTAATTATATGAAAAGGGTTTTCATGTGAAAATAGGGTAATTAAAATGGAGCAATGCTTCAAAAAGAACACTTATAATATTCTGTGATATAAAACCTTTGGCACTAGCAGGCAGTGTACCTTAAGATTCTCCTCTCTGAACTATTTCTTTATCTTCATCTTTGAGTCGTGATGAAGCAGGAAATTGACTACAATATTGAATAAGCATTACGTAAAGCCGGCGAGGAGCAAGCTGAGCGTGCAATTGTACAGACCCTTGCTTCTGCTTTTCCAATTTTCTTATCTGTTTGCATCTTCATCTCTCTCCATCAGTCTTTCTTTTTTAATTTGTTGCTAATTTTGAGACTTCTAAGGTGTGCATTGGCCAAAAAGAAAGATGTGTTATTGGTTGGAGTATTGTGTAACCCAAGCCACCGTTGACTATTAGGGCAGCAAGTTAGATGTGATCGGTTGTGTACTTCAAAAAATTATCTTCTCATGAAGTTGGTTTCCTGTACTTGGCTCATTCAATTAGTACAAAACAACACAGGATTTATCTATTGGTGGTTTCTGGTACATAAGTTTTATCAAAAACTTGGTCTAAATCTCTAGACTTTGCTATTTTTATATGATGAGTTGTACAGGCAGGTGTTTTATCATTAAGTTGAAGGTTGTCTGGTTCTTGGTGTAAATTCTCTTTGCTTTAGCGCTTTGTCAGGTATATCCAGATATCATTTAGATCTCTGTTATTGGCGCGTATAGTAATTTGGCAAATCATGACAGAAGCTTCAGGCGTTTGTGTTTCGATGACCCCAAGGTCGGATTTCAAAGTTCATGAAGTTGCTCAGAGCAGTTTCAGACGCGCCAATCACCTCTTTAGTTGCATTTCTGATCAAAGTCAAAAGAGAAGCATTCAAGAAGTAAGTCTTATGGCTCAAGATGCAGTAAATGGATTCAGAAAATTGCTTACTCTCCTTGATGGATCAATGCAATCAGACTGCAAGAGGATCAGAAAGGGTCCTTTGCCAAAATCCCATAAAGTAAATCCAATTGAATTTATGGATAGCCCCGATTTTGCATCTCAAAGTTCTGATTACAAATCAAGTCAACCGCATATTCTCAGACAATCAGTCTCTCCACAGTCTAATCAATCAAATACTGGTTTGATCCCCAGAAATGTGGTGGTTTTGTCAAATTTGATCATGGGGTTGCATCATTCTTCAATACTGCCAAGCATATCTATGTTTCGTTTAGATGCACGAAGCAACATGGACAAGAAGACAATTCCCCAGTCGTCATCAGAAATCCTGGTTTCTCAGGATGAGTCTTGCTTCTTTCCATCCAAAAGAAAGGTTGGGACGGAGGGTGAAGAAGCTAGTACAAAATGTGCAGCCTCAACTGGTGGATGTCACTGCTCAAAGAGAAGGTAAATCCTCGTTTCAATTTCTCTTGTGACATAATAAATTGTCATAAGTCTGAAATCCCCGTATGTTTACCATTAATAATCTGATAGCTATTTGGTAAGTTGTATCTACTGATTTATATATCCTTGGGGCTGAGGATGAATTGGTTCTGTTTCTTTTATTTTTCCTTTCTTCTTTTCTGTTCCTGCAGGAAACTGAGAATAAAGAAAACTGTTCGAGTTCCGGCTGTAAGCAATAAATTATCTGATATACCTCCAGATGATTATTCTTGGAGGAAATATGGACAGAAACCCATTAAAGGATCTCCATATCCTAGGTATGAATCTATGAATATATCACCTTTTTTTTTCATTCTAACCGAGTTATCAGTCGATCATGATATTAAATGACACTTGACCCTGTCATTACTAAGAACGACGGCTCAAAAACCACAACTCGGCTCGAATTATCATATTATTATTATTTATATAAGTTCATCTCTTCTGGATCTGATATGTTCCCAATTGCATTTGATAATATATTCAGTTTAGTCCACAGATTTAGTTCATAAATTTGGAAAATAAACAGACATTCCATGGTTTGGAGGTCCTAATATGCGGTAGCATCAACAACTTTAGCCACCAGCAAATGGCTCTATTCACGTAAAACACGGAAAAGCTTCTTCTCACTAGAGCATATTAGAGAGCTTTTACTCGGCATCTCAATTACTTAATGCAATTGCCATGGTTCCCCTGTAAGATCTAAGTAATACTGAAGAGATAGAGAGCTTCTGCATTCTGATATTACTAATCCTGCCTGACATGTTTTCCATGATTTATTTTGGAAGGAGCTATTACAAATGCAGCAGCATGAGGGGATGCCCTGCTAGAAAGCACGTGGAACGATGTTTGGAGGATCCAACCATGTTAGTTGTGACTTATGAAGGAGATCATAAACACTCGAGGATTACATTTCAAGCACCCAATGTGATGGTTTAAGTTCAGAAGCTGAATCAATCCAAGGAACTTCCACGCCAATATTCCCAAGCTAGATGTGCTTCTGCCTGGGCTAGGAAATTCCTTAGGATTTTGTTTCTCCGTTCTTTCTAGGAGAGAATCCTGTTTGCCCTTGTGAATGTTCATAAACCACTGCCGTTTCAAGTCTCCGTCTCTTCCTCCTGTGTAAGGGTAACTTCCACAAATGAGTTGAATGAACAATCATCGTACATATTTCGGTTAAAAATGTTCATTAAGTTGCTTAACAACTGTCCCTGAAAGATGAGCACTTTGTATGGGGAATTAAGTTGTAAGAGAGTGCCACTTCATCTTAAATCAAGGAAATTTCAAAAGAAATGTTAGCATAAGTTGATCATTGCATCATCATTCGTAACAAAACCCTGCTCGGGCTGATATTTGATACTCTCAAAATCAGAAAATGATTGTCTTCCATTTTTTGCCTTCCCTGGGTTAATTGACCATTGAGTTCTTGTGGAAGAAGGAAATTATGGTTCCAGCCTTGCATAACATGCTCCTGAATCATGTTCTTCAGTATTCCTACATTCCAATGAAGTTGAAAGCAGAAATTTCTAATCCATTATGTCCCACAAGCGAATCAACGTTTTGGTAAACTTTATTTAATGCTCTTGCAATGGTAATACAAATTCACAATTTCTCATATTATATATCCACAAAAAAAATAAAGGAAAATATTCTCCCAATTTGGTCATCAGAAACATGTAAAGGACAAAGTCTTGTACGACATGGAAATGCAATAACTGTGGCCTCTTCCCGCTAAAGACCAAAGTCCAACTTCATCCAAGAACTCTCGGGGCCGACGGTTCTCACTTAAAGGACCAATGGCCGACCATTTGCTAGTTCTGAACACAAACATTTCCGAGATGGGCTTACTGCTTGAGGCAGACAAAATTGAGCAACATGTTTATTTGTCCAAGCAAAAGTGTGAGATTACAAGAGTTATTTACTTGCTCTCTTTAGGAGATGGGCCTTCATTTGCATCTCACTGAAATGCTTTCCTTTGATCTTGCTTCAACATTTCTAGATAAATATATTTAAGGGTTCAAGTGATTTGTTTGCCTTACTGATTACACTCACATTGGATACTCT